CATTATTAATTGTCTAATGAATATGATGGATGATGATGATAATGATAATGATGATAATTATGGTGATTGAATGTCACTTTATATATCCTCTATGGATGGAGAGAGAGAGAGAGAGAGAGAGAAGAGGAAAAGAAAAAAATGTATGTTTTTGGCAATGATGATGGTGATGATGATGGTGATGGTGATGATGACGATGATAAATAATAATAAATTATTATTGGCAGCGACTTCAATTTCAAATCTGTCCCTTGATGTCAACCTTTTCAAATTTCTTACTACACGCATCAATTGGTTTTTGTGCACCTTTAGTCTCTAATGTGCTATTTGATATAATATATTGAGAGGCATTATGATCTGAAAGAAATTTTATACATTCTTCTATATTTTCAAAGGCTAATTCAGAACGTATAAATTCTAAATCCAAATTTGGTCTAAATCTGCGGATCAAAAAAAAAATTTTTATAATGTAAATATAAAATATTTTTTTAGAAATAAGTAACAACAAAAAAAATATATATATTAAACGCTACTTACGATTTACATAAAATTTTCAAAGCAGCAATTCTTTCTCTTTCAACGAAAAGGTTCATCAAATATACTCCCATATTAGGCGCCTTTGAATATAAATCAAAGAATTTATGGTAATTTGATGTAGCCAATGCTGACCTGACATCTAATGCATGTTTAATTGCTTTATTTTCTTTCATTTCATCAGTAAGTTCAGCTATTAATGCATTAATATCTAAATAATGCAATTACAATTATTTTTAATTTTAAACATAATGTTGAAAAAGAATCTATGTTAATATAATATGATATAAAGATTACCTGAACGATTTCTTGTGTACACAAAGTAAAGGAGTCTATATGCCATGAACTCTATCATTTGACCTGGAATATTTAATCTGTAAAGTTCCTTTAGTTGTGTTTGACATTGATTATACTCACCCACATCGCCCTAATAAATAAATATCCAAATGCAACGTATTTAAAGTCATTTTATATTCCAAAAATATTCTTTAAAGGATATTTAATAACGATCCTAATATTCGCGTCTTTTAGATTAATTTATTTACTTGATGAACTTACATGCCCAGAGGATGGAAGTGTATCATATTTCCACCATAGAAATAATATTACTCATATTTATAGTAATAATAATAGTAGTAGTGATAATAACGAGAGTAGTGATAGTAATAATAGTAATGATAAAAATAATCATACCACCAGCAGTGATAATATCGAAATAATAACAAACGATGAAGAACTTTATCTCACATTTCTTCCTCATAGTGGATTTCACAATCAAAGAATTGCTTTAGAGAATGCTATAGTTGTATCTTGGTTTTTAGGCAGAACATTGGTTATTCCACCATCTTTACTTGGATTCAGAAAACCAATGCACCAATTGGAAAAACTTTTGACAGAACTGAGACCAGAACCAGTAGAAATTGTTTGTAAAGACGCTAAAAAAAAATTTAAATGTATTAAATTTCATGAATCTTATACATTTTATCAATGGGATAAATTATTTGATTTAAGTATTATCAAAGAATATAATGTCAAGACTTTGCCTGTAGCAGATTACAGCGAGAAGACATTATTTAAGCTTTTAAATATAAGCGATCCTAAAAACCAAGTTCACAAATCATTCAAATATCACACCAATCATTCATTTTATGATTCTGATACTCCTGGCGCTAAAAGGTTAAAAGATAAACCAAATTGGGATTTCGAGTCTTTACTGGCTCTTAAGAATAATAAAAAAAAGCTTTTATATTTTGGTAGTTTGTTTGGATCGAATAGATTGATCCTTGATTCAAGTGATGCTATAACATTCAGGGACAAAGTAAGATCAACAATGATGCCAAATAATAAATTAATGTTGGAAGTTGTTGACAAAATTGTTGATAATTTAGATGGATTCTTGAATTTCATAACGATTCATGCTAGACTCGGCGACAGTCGTTTTCGTAGAGATAAAGATCGTCATCTCGCACAATTTATCGGTAATGTCGGTAATGATTTCCCGAATTTATCAAGTTTTCAACAAATTTCATATTCAAATTATTCATGCAAAGCTCAACCTCATACAAACGAAATTCCGAAATTATTTATCGCTAGCGATGTTAAGAAAGACAATGAATTGATTGGTCCTCTTATTGAAGCTTTCCCTTGTTTATACATGCTTTCGGATTTTTATCCTTTACTTGAACCTTATAAGACACTTAAGAACCCAGTAGACAATAAAATAATGTATAAGTTTTTATTACCTTTAACCGATCTTATGGTAGCTGCGAGAGCTTCAAATGTTTACGCTTTGCGTTTTAGTACATTTGGTAGATATTTAAATAGATATCATCTTTTTTTATTAAATAATAAACTACAGTACTCTAATTAATAAACAGTAGATTGAAAATTATTTGTATATATGTATAGTGAATATAATAAAGATTATCATGATTACATTAAAACCAAACTAGACGTTCGCTTTCAATTTACTAATATTTTCGTTATTTGTGAACGCCCAGTGAAAATACAATAGTTCCGATAATGGACCAACTAGTATTCTAGTATAAACGTATTATTAGTATTAGGCTTAATATCTCTGTAAAACATTATCAAGTTGATAACTGACCCAAAATTTATATATACATTTCATCAAAAAAAGTAAAAAACAAATCGGAAAACTTCTTCTTAAATAAATCAATCGTGAATATGAGTTCTTCTTACAAAGCAAAACTTTTCAACGTTATCCCTTAAAGAAAATTTATTCCAAATTTGGCGTAGATTTACAATTACATAAATAAAATTTTTTCAGTATAACTCCGAGTGTGGTGTAAAAATGTTTTCAAATATCGCCTGATCCAAAATTTCAATGATATGATTTAAAAAATACTATTATAGTGACCGACACCAGGAAATCGTTTTCCTAAATATAGAGCAAATAGGATTGTATGTGAGTATTGTAAATATCAAAGGCAGGAAGAAGGAATAAATGCTACAACTAATGATAATCACTCACATATATTTTGTATTCTATATGATGTTGCTTTATGTTTAAACTCAAAAAGAAGTTGTTTTTTAGAATATCACAGTAATAATATTTAAAGGATTTTGTCCAAATTCGGAAGAAATTTTTAGTACAAATTAAAGTAAATATCTGTATTCTAAATTGTTTTTTCTCCCCAAGTAACCTTGTTTATTAGAACAAGCATCTTCGCATACTTTGCGATTTTATACCGGATAATGACTTTTTCTAATTGTGAATTTCAAAAAAAACAAAAATTTTTGGATTTTTTTTGAATACATGTTTTTGCGCATTATTTTTTTTTTTTCCGAAGAAAAAATAATTAATATTAAATTATAAATGATGATATGTATAAAAAATGCCTTTTTCTAAAAAAAAAATAGAGTCCAAGTAATTTTTCCGTTTGGTGGGGTAACTCGAAAATCTACGCCAAATTTGGCATAGATTTCATTTCCTTTAAAGGATGGGATACTTGAGGATACAAAAAAAAAGCACTTTCTTTGGATAAGTATTCTGTAACATATCGAAATGACACCAATTGATATTTCTGTATGGCACAATTAAAATGTCAAACGCTTTAGTATGTTATAATGTTATGAAGATCTAATTCATCTGGTTTCATCAAATAATCTTGATAAAGAGCTCAAAATAAACCGAAATACATTTTCCTTAAATTTACAAAAATTAAACTTAACACGAATATTATGCAAGGCCAATGTTATTAATAGAATTGAACTGTCAAGAAGACACATGAAACTGAATTATATAAAAAAGTTAAAATTGAAAAAGGACGGCAACCTCAACCTAACCATGATCTTTTCATTTCACACTGTCTCTTATAATGTGCCTTGATATCTGCAAAGAACAACACGCAGATATTTGTTAAAACTGTGATTCTATTTGAAAATTTACAAGTTTACATTGGTAAAACATCTAATGATATATTGGATATGCACAGGAAAGCCTTTGCTATTATCTTGACTAAATGTGTATTGAATTCACAATTTTTCTTTTATACTTGGAGAATTTGGTTATGAAGATGCAGTTTTAGTAGTAGATTATAGAATGTGTATTGATCTAAAATCTGTTTGTGAAGCAAGCTAAGGATAAATTTTCTGGTAAGAGGGAATGGACTCTGCATAGTATATTATTATATACTAAAAATTAAAGATGATGAATTAGATATTAGTACATTTGATCATTGGTCAAATGACGCACAAGGGTGCTCTTCATGCTGTTCTTGTCTCAGTTGTGAATAAACTTAAATGGTATCCATAATATCAGATAATGGTGGCCGTTATCATAACTCTGAGCTAATGGTCATTTTAAGCTACTAAAATGAATGGTATAATATTAATATTAAGGCTGGGATTTGGACATTTTTAGGGCCAGGAAAAGCTAAAAGTGTCACCTTGTACAGGTAAATTGATAATCCAACTGTTTAATAAAGTTCCAAATGAGGTTTTTAAATAAACTTGAAAATCAAAATTTTTTGTAATGGATAAAATTTCACAATAATTGGTAGTGTTAATTCCTCTACCTGACCTGAATTTTTATTTGAACTATTAAATTTTTCTTGGTTAAATGGGTAATTGATTGTACATTGTCATTTTTAGATCTAAATCCAAATGCTTGATTTATAATTGTTTAATACATCATTAAATGCATCATCTCTAATACAATGGGTGTATCAAGAACCATTTGAGGTTAGAGTCATTAGATGTAAATTTTATGATATTAATTTTTCTTATTATTAATTGCAACTAAAGCATTAATTGTACATCTAGCGCACAGTACCAATCCATTTTAATAACCTCAGGATCAGGATAAAATCTAATTTTAGTGCTTTCCTCTGCTGGAGGTTTTTCAGAAGAAGACAATGATGAAATCACATCTACATTTATAAATGATGATGATGACGACAAAATTAAATCCTCATTTATAGTCTGGCATTCAATATATATTATATATATTCCAGATTCGTGAAGAACATATTTTAATTTATCAGTTCGTAATGCAAAGACGTCAAGTTAAAAGTTTTTTTATAGACTGCTGAAATTTATCACGGTGACAAGGTAATGTATCATATATATTAAATATTATTATATGAAAACATTTAAGGGTAGAGTCCATGACATCACCTATCATATGGAAAAATTACCACACTACACAATTTTATGCAAGAATAAGTAAATTATTTTAATTTTTTTATACAAAAAAAATTTAACGATTAATTATATTCATATAATTGTGTAAACATATAACGCATCTTGTATGTGGTAGAATTTGTCTGTAGGAATGAAGCTTTGAAATCAATACAGTTCATGTGCTTGATGTTTCTTGTGCTATGTTTATTGTGGAGTTAATATAACAATTTTTTTATTACCATAAGTTATTCAGATTTTTTATTTATTATATTCACTATTAATATTATTTATAAGATGGATCAGATTGACCAATTTAAAACGTTGTTTATATCTTTTGGCCTCTTAAACGTCAAGACATATTGACACAATTGGTATTTTTACAGCCATTAAAGCTTTCCATAGCTCTAAATAATAACGTGTATACTACCTTTTATGCAAATTTGGTATCTATGCCTTTGAAAACAGAAGAGGAGTAGCGGTATGTACTTTAGTAGTTGCTGATTACAAAAAAAATTGCATTAATATTAATATTAATTAGATTTGGTTTTCTTCATGAATATACATATCTTTTAGAAATTTTCTTTTTTAAAAAAGCATAACGTCATCTAGTTGAACAAAATAGTCAACGATTTTATTTTTAAGTTATTAAATCTTAACCATAAAAGTAATCAAGTTGGTAATATTTATCAAAACTATAACAGGTTATTTAAAATCACACTTTCCTAAAAATGATTTTAAATAAAATGATTTTTTAATTTTATAATTAATTTTATAATTTTTAATTTTATTCTTAAAATATTTTTAAATAATAATGGAAAGACAACAAGAAGAATTTAAGAGAATTCAAAATTATCGAAGTTATTCAGCAATCAATCCTACGATTAGTGATGATAATAAAAATGAGACAAAGGAACGGGTAGGGATGATGAGAATGCAAAGAAGACATTCTTATGATATAAAATATTATAAACGAGAACTTGACCATCAAGCTTATCCACCATCTCCTCCAGAAACTATTATCACCAACAATAGTACTAGTGTCAGTAATAATATTAATACATCCTTTCCATCTTCACAATCTCCACCTTCATCTTTACCACCTTCGTCATCATCATCATCAAAACAGACATCTTGTCATAATGAAAATATTCTTCAAGGAGTTACTTTAGGATTTTCAAGTTCAGGACCTAGTAGTCTTTTACCAACTTATAATAATAATAATGGTAATGGTAATGGTAATGATGATAAAAATGATGATAAAAATGATGACAATAACAATTATGAAGAATTTAATAATAGTAATAATAATGGTGGTAAAGATGTTACAGAAAATTTTCTGTTTAGAAAAGAATGGGATGATGAAATTAGTAAAAGAAAATATAAAAATAAAAGTTAAAAAAAAATGTGACGTATATATTATTGATAATTACAAAGAATTTTTTTTTTTGCAATTAAAAATTCCTCAATAACATTTTATTATTTTATGACTTCAATATTATTTTATTTTAATTTAGAATTTGCTGCTTATCATATAATAATGATGATAAATTTATAAATATTATATTATGATTTCTTTCCCTAAAAACGGAATAATGTATTAATTAATTAATAATTATAAAATTATAAATTCAAAGAATCATAAAAAATTTTTTTACCCTAGCCATTCTTGAAATTCCATATACAGCACTTGCAAATCCAACTGTAATAAAAGTAATGTGTAAATACAAGAAGCCTTTTCTAATACCACTTCCACGTAACCAAAGAGGTTGATGAACATCAGCCTTTACCAAATAACATTATTTTTGTTGTTAATACAAGTTTTGTTATATGTAAATTATATAAAGGTTATTTATTATATATATTCTTCTTACTTGGAAGTATCTTTGATTTTCAACGACTCTGTTAGGTTTATATATAACGCTTACCATCTTAATTTAGAGAAATTTGAAATTTGAATTGATTTTGAAAAATTAAAAAATTATTCTTTCTGTGCTACATAAGAACCCATTCTTTATTTTGATCGGTTAAAAAAATATATGGTGACATGTTTTATATGTATATTAATTAATATGCGTCATAGTTACACTTTATCTAAATATCTGGAAATGATTTTCAATGAAATCAATTGTAAAAATAACAATAAGGGGCGTTTTTAAATACGGTCCTAAGCCTCAATCAGTCAAATCAGCCTTGTTGCTTTGAACTGATTGATTTTTGACTTGAGAAAAAAAAAAAAAAATGCACAATAAATTTTCATTAGAATCAATTGTTCGTCCTAACATTCTTGCACTTAAACCTTATCGGTGTGCAAGAGATGATTATTCAAATGGAATTTTGTTAGATGCCAATGAAAATTCATTTGGAATGATGAATGATGATAATGAAGAATTGAATAGATACCCAGATCCAAATCAAGTTATGGTTAAAGAACGTCTATTAAAGTTTCGTAACATGCCAACAATTGATTATTTATTTTTGGGGGTTGGATCAGATGAAATTATTGATTTATTGATGAGAGTTTTTTGTATACCTGGTAAAGACAAAATATTGATTACGCCTCCAACATATGGAATGTATTTAATAACTGCAAATATAAATGACGTTGCAACTGTCAAGGTTGATTTAGATGTTGAAGAAGGAAGATTTCAATTGAAGACTGATGAGGTGATTATTGAGTAATTTTTTCAAAAAATAATAATAGATTAATTCATTATTGTATTGTATATATTTTATAGATTTCCAAAGTTTTAAAACAAGATAAAAATATAAAAATAGTTTTTCTTTGCTCACCTGGAAATCCAACTGGCACATTATTATCTAAAGATGATGTTAAACTGATTTTAGAAGATCCAAATTTAAATGGAATAGTGGTGGTTGATGAAGCATATATTGATTTTGTTGATAAAAGTAAAAATGCAAGCTTTGTAGATTGGGTGAAAGATTATCCAAATTTATTTGTTATGCAAACTTTAAGCAAAAGTTTTGGACTGGCTGGAATTAGGTAAATTACACAATATATAATATACATTCATGCATATATATACCTACTTATGATTTTTATATTTAGATTGGGAGTTGGAATTGGAAATCCTAAAATTGTACAATTAATGAATAATACAAAAGCTCCATATAACATAAATTCATTGACGTCAAAAGCTGCTTTAAATGCATTGTCAGATGAAAATATAAATAAAATGTATAAAATAGTCAAAAAGATTAAAGATGAACAAATTAAAATTATAAAGTCTATCAAGGAAATTAAAGGAATTGGTAAAATACTAGGAAGCAATGATGCAAATTTTATTTTAGTTCAAATATTAGATGAGAATAATAAAAAACCAAGTAATGAAAAAGCCAATTGGCTATACAAAGAATTGGCAGATAATCATGGGATTGTGGTGAGATATCGAGGAAATGAACTTGGATGTAAAGGATGTTTAAGAATTACAGTTGGAACAATTGAGGATAATGTCACATTATTGAAAACATTAAAGGAATTGTTGGGTTGATTTTATTTTTTCTAATGAATCAGGGAATTCATTATTTAATCATTATCATTCTAAAATTATAAACTCTTTTAGTGATTAAATTTCCATATGTTCTTTATTGTTTAGACTACTAATTAGCAAAGGTTTTATATAGTTGTAACTTTTTCTTTGGTAATACTGTAAATAATTTTTGAAATTTTTAGATGCTGGGTGACTAATTTCCTCACAGTATTCATGTATAGTATTAATATTAGCAATATTAATAAAAATGTCAAAAGAATAAATAGTATTACAATAATGATTATTATTGTTAATTGGTTATATATAATAAGATCACATTCATCACTGTGACCATTGTCAGATTTTTATTTTAAAATTATCTTGATGGCAAGATTGCAATAGGATTATTTACATTATTATGTTGTAAATAAATAAATACCAGAGATGATGTGTGAATAGCAAATAAATTTAAAAATTAAATGATGTATGAGTTTTTTCTTCTAAATCTTTAATTGATGATTCGCGAATAAATGAATAGTAAAAAAATGAGAGAGGTTTCATATCAAATGATCGGTAAAAAAAAGTTAAGTGCTGATTTTACTATTAAAAAATTTTACAAGAAAATAGCACTATACTTTTTTGCCTCAAATTTATATCCCTTTTATTTTATAAGATGGAATAAACATCAAAGAATATATTGATACATTTTTTTTTGATTTTTAATCAGAAAATAAAAAACTTTACTTTGTAACACCTGTAAATTCTTCGTCTATATGAAATTTCCCTCACAAATTACTATCACTATCAACAACCTCATATCATCAATTAAACTTTTAGTGGCCAAAGTAATAATTATTAAAGTTGGTGATAGAAAGATTAAAGAATTATATAGCCTTGCATAATTTTTTTGCGCGCACATATTTTTAATATAATCGAATATAAAATGAATGTTATTTCTGCTAATTATTAATTAATCAATCCTTCTTTACTGAATTTTGTGTGGCACTTTTCCAAACATCTTGGACGGCCTGTGTGATTTCTTTAATCGGGCCATGTGGATAACGATCAATTCCTTTGAGGTTTGCTAAATTGGGATCTGATGATCTTGGTGGATTTTCACTAGCAGATCTTTTGTCTTCTTTTCTATCACTCGTGTCCTAATTTAATTAATGTTAATTAATTCATTAATTAATTTAAAGCTATTTTAAATTTATAGCTGATTATAATAATATCTTTACCCAATTTCCAATTTGTTCGTTCATTCCCTAATTTTAAATTAATATAATGTTAATTAATTAATTTTAAAAAACATTTATAAAAAATTAATAAAATAAAAGATAAAGCTTGCTCACAATATTAGCATTTAAATCATCTCGTTTATGATCAGTGTTTTCCAAAACATCAGTATTCCTTTGAGCATTTTTTGGAGTTAAATTTTTTTCACGCGAGCTTTCTATGTCCGCATTCCCTGAATCTTTCATATTATCATTTCCCATATCTTGTAAATTACTGGCCATTTCTTTGCTTTTTTCTTTTACACCTTCAGCTTTAACTTGCAAATTGCTAGCACCTTCTTTGCTTTTCTCTTTTACACCCTCAACAGTTTCTTTACCTTTATCTTGCAAATTGCTGACGGTTTCTTTGCTGTTTTCTTTAACACCTTCAACTTTATCTTGCAAATCGCTAGCAGTTTCTATGCTTTTTTTTTTTACACCCTCGACATTTTCTTTAACTTTATCTTGCAAATTGCTGGCTGTTTCTTTACTTTTTTCTTTTACACCTTCAGCTTTATCTTGCAAATCGCTAGCAGTTTCTATGCTTTTTTTTTTTACACACTCGACATTTTCTTTAGCTTTATCTTGCAAATTGCTGGCGGTTTCTTTAGCTTTATCTTGCAAATTGCTGGCGGTTTCTTTGCTTTTTTCTTTAACACCTTCAGCTTTATTTTGTAAATTATTAACAGTTTCTATACTTTTTTCTTTTATGCCCTCGACACTTTCTTTAGCTTTCTCTATTAAATTACTAGCAACTTCTTTGCCTTTCGAAGCAATTTCTATGCCTTTGTCTTTTACACCTTCTGCGGCTTCTTTAACTTTATCTATTAAATTGTTAGTAGTCTCTTTTCCTTTTGCAGTAATTTCTATAGTTTTATCTATTAAATTGCTGGTGGACCCTTTGCTTTTGTCTTTTACACCTTCAGCAATTTCTTGACTTTTGTCTTTGACTCCTTCGGCAGCCTTTTCGCCTTTGTTTTTTACATCATCGGCAATCTCCTTTACTTTTTCGTAAGAACCGCCGACGGCTTCTTTTGCTCGATCTTTTAAATCACCGGTTTTATCTTGTAAATTAGAAACTGTTCCTTTTGTTTTGTCACTAAGGGTTTCTTTATCTTGAACATTTGATGTTTGTTCGGTTCGCTGAGATTTTAAATAATCAGCACGTTCTTTAAGACTACTAGCTGCCGCCGCTGCTTGTACATCAGAATCAGGTGTAGTCACACGATCAACAGTATTTTTTACTTTATCAATTATATTATTATTATCACGTTTAATACCTAAAGATTCTTTTGCTTTGCTGACTGTATGACCTTCGGTTAATGATTTATCTGGAGTTGGACCTATTTTATGAGGGTCTTTGTCCTTAGGACCTAATTTTCTTAATGGCTCCGGATTGAAATAAAATGGATCGTGTGACGATGAATCGGAAGATACAGAATCATGATGATTCTTTTTATAGTAAATTGTAGTAGTTGAAGATAATGATCGATTTATTTGTTTGATTTGATTAATCTTGTGAATTTCATTATTCTTGAAAATGTTGAATTTTAAGCAATTTCTCGAATAAGAACGTGTAAATAATAATTTACGAGCAGCAATATTATTCATTGTTTTTTTTTTTTTAAAAAAAATTTATTTCAAAATATTTTGTTATTTTCTAACGAAAAAAAAAATCAATTTATATATTTTGTAAATAGTATAATAGTATATATTACCAATTATGTATTTGTAAAAAATGAATTAATGCTGTAATTTTTATGTCATTATTTTTAATTAATGATCTCATAAATTCTACTTCGTTCTAATGCAACATTTTTCCATATGAATGTGTGTTTTTTGACCAAAAAAGGAAATTTTAGGTAATCACAAATATAAAATTAAATATTGGTCAAAAAAGGGTGATCCGCACCAGTAAATTTTGTTGTGTAACTAGTATAAATTTAGAAACTATTTCCTGAAATTCAAATTTGATTGGCTAATAATGTTACACACGTCCTTGCGCCCTCTCGATTTCACACACGATAATACCTTATTATTTTCTTTATATAAAGTTTTTATAATTTCATTAAAATAATTACATAGTTACGACAAACCAGCTAGCTATACACTATTATTTATTAGATTAATTAGAATGCAACTCTTTCAACTCTTTCAAATAATGTCATAAAGTTTATTGACATTGTTTTTTGCTCATAGACATTGCAGATGAATATCTAGATATCCGATTTCAGATAGTTTCCACCTTCAGAATTTGTTCTAGTGTAAAAAAATTATCATTGTTATTATTATTTGCTCCTCCCAACAAAGTTCCTGGTGCATTGGTGTATCTTTGGCTTTTGCCAGAATTATCAGAATGAAAATAAGATGATATTATTTTTGGCATTTTTTTTTCCACCACTTTTTTTTTCCATATTTTTGTTTCCCGTCCTAATTTAGATATAAGTTTATCTTCTATGAATTGCTCAAATCAATATTATTAGTCTTTATTACTTAGAAATAACCTTTTTTAAAAAATTTAAAAAATCACAGTGGAAAAATCGAGATTCTGGAGGTTGGATCATTATTACTATAATAAAATATTATATTCAAAAGTTTTTTTTTGTTGGATGAATTTTAACTAGATATTGAATGATTTATTTCATTATTTTCAAAAAAAAAATTTCGTAATTGATTCACTTGCTATTTAATAAATTTATTAATATAGACATTAATGGATTTTATGTGTACTAGATATTATATTTATCTATCTGACGCATCAGAATTGGAATTCTCCATTTCTCCTTGGCATGAAATGTGGTATACCACATTGGTTCAGGTTTTGTGAATTGTTGTTTAATTAACCATTTATTTCTATGGGTAAAAATTTATTAACTCAATCACCTATATCAAAACAACTCATGAGCACATATAAATCTACTAGATTTCTCCATCAATTGGTTATTTCCAAATGTTGTTTGGGATTGCGGCTCCAAATGGATGGTAAACATCACCTAAGGCTTAATATCGACGAATGGGCAAGTACCGTGAGGAAAAGATGAATACCAATCAGATACCCCCCAGCAATTGTATCTGCAACATTTCTCTTTTGCTCAATATGTGTTACTGATGTCCTTGAATATTATTTTCATGGTTTTTTCACCTGTTGTCAAGTCATTTCCCAAACTCATAATTTTTTGATTGCATGCGAGATCTATTACAGTATTAGTATTATTGTAGATAGTAAAATCATCAAGTTGAAATTCAAGTAATCGGTTTCTAGTTCAATTAATTGGATTATTGATAAAACGGATTCATCGATTGGCCAACATATTAACTAAAACAGGTAATTTTTCAAACCAAATTTTAGCCAAGTATTTTTTTCAATTGGTTAAAAAAAAATTTTTTATTGATTTAACCGATTCGCCAATTACATTTATTGTAAAAATCATTATCTGACACTTCTACCCTCACAAATAGTCCTAATGCTTTAGTTGTAAAGAAACTCCAAACCATGATTCTCTCCGTCATGCTTTACCATATGTTACAAATTTTCGATATTAAAACGAGTCCATTTTCGCGTCGAATTTCTATTGTCCATCACTCCATGTGACACTTCTACATTGTCTTATTTCCCGGTTTCATCGATCAATACACCGTTCAAGTCGTTTTTGGCGTTGAGAAGTGACATTGATGCGAATATAAACCAATTTCATGAAAATTGTTTTAATCGAAACATTTAAGCTAGTAGATATCATTAATAGTAGCTCTATTATTGGCAACAATTTCTTTAAAGCATCACCAAGCAATTTCGTCTACCACTTCTTTTTTTGCCTAATGGTGTTTCAGAATTCCATAACGCTGAATTATACTTTTCATAGTTTGAGTTGGACAACCAACTTGTATGTCCACTTTTGAAAGGACCAATAATTGTGATCTTTCAGACACAATAAGCTCGTGGTTCTTTAAAAGATGTTGAAATCTTGAAATATTGATTTTATTTTATTTTCGTCACAAGAACCGGAACTTTCAAATAAATATAAAAATTTGAATTTCGATTTTATATGTATTTTCACATTTTTTTCTTAATAAATTAAATAACACCATCAACTTCTGATATTATATAAATTCTTTCGCCTTAACCATATTCATATGTACTATCTTATTAAGTACCCACCACTAAGATAAATTAGAATTGTTTAGTTCTGCTTGTTCTGTAAGTGCTTGTAAAATAAACAATTAACATATAGGATCTTGAGTTCGTTTATCGATTGTAAATTTCGCAAGTCGTTTTCAACACAAATCGTCTATCAACTGTCTCAATAAAATTACCACCATGTACATCTCAAGTGATTTAAATAAATGATTGATGGTTCATCGTTATGTCTTTGGATAATTCAATCAATCAATATGTCTTTATTTTCTAGGTTTGGGTAAGGACCTAATTCAAAACCTCTCAGTCTCAAGGTTTGTTTATCTTTCGGTGGGTGAAGAAAATGTGGCATCAATTATTATCTTGACGTTAACGTTAATGATACATATATGTATCCTTGACTATTAAATAAATATTTCAATCATTCTAATAAAAATGCAATCAAATACTATTGAGAGTCAGTTATTCTACACTTGGAGAGTTTAAATTAATGATATATACTAATCGTCCTTTGTAAGCGAGGAAATAAAAAATTCTAATAATCGAGAAAAAGGACTTATTGCCATTAAATCGATTAAATCGATAAATTGCAGCTTCAATTGCTGAATACTCCCCAGGTAAGACATTTTGATCACGTGTATGACAATCATTTGCCTTTTTAGGTATCAACAAAGCACAAGTGAAAAAAAGAATTATTAATAAATCAAATATTTTAAAAGCAACATTGGAGTAAATAAAATTTCCTTTATAATATATTATGATCTCTTGACAAAACAACCTATCTGGTTCTGAGTGTAACAACTCTTACTTATTTGAAAATTACAAACAATGAATCCTGCTAAAGGAAAATCTAAAGAACAAAACTCAAGGATTTCTCTCTTCTCAATCACAACAAAAGTGGCCTCTTTTTGACAAAATATATTTAAGGAAATGTATATCAAATAAAGAATGATTAATTATAACATTTATTTATATAAAAATATGAGAATTAATTGCCATATCATCCTGTAGACAAAAAGTGCAATACAATTTTTTGTGCAAATGACAATTGGTTTACATGTAGATCATTCCCAAACTGAAACACTTACATTATAAAAATGCACATATTTCACTGAAGCCATTATGATCACGTTAATTGGGTCTGATCAATAGAAACAAGACATGTCACCAAAAAGTCGATTTTGAGTTAACAATATTTTTATATGTAATTCATCACAAAGAACATTTTTAGCTTAGTAACTATACCCATTTTTCTTATAAATGTTTTGAGATATTTGAGAAAAAGTGAAAGGGCATTAGTCTACACGATGTTACACGAGCAATCATTATTATTATTATAAATAAATAAATTAACGTTAGGCCGTTCAAATTTAGAGATCTGTTTAACATCATTTTTTAGAAAAAATTGTGAGGGGGGGGGTAGTAAAAATTTAAACATTTAAACGTTTTGATCTACCTTACTATTTTAAGTAATGATAAACAATAAATATTTTAAACGCGTGCGTAAAATTTGAAAAAAATATTTTTGAATTTTTTTAGAAATGGTTTTATTTGTTTGTTATTGTAATAGAAAATGGCATTTCTGTCATAAAATCAAGCCTAATTAGTATTGAAGAAACTAAAAAATTCAAGGATTTATTAGATACAGTACTAAAAAAAGATACATTGTTTCTTGAAGAATTACAAGTAAAAGTAGAATTTCAAAATAATGATTTGTCAGTTTGGCATGATGTAATTTATGGACTTGATGAAAATTTAGAAGCATGCATTCAATTAAAAGTGAAACATTTTCGTTTTACTATCACATTTTATGATGATAATGCAATAATTATTAATGATAATGATATTTTCACTTCTGATAAGTCAGCATTTGATTTGATGATGAGACAAACAATTATAAAGAAATTACCACAACCTAAAATCATAAAATTTCATACTGATCTACTTTTTAATGATCTTTTGAAGATTCTCAGAGAAAAAGAGCTAGGCTGGTTAAACAACAATCATTTGACAATTGGCAATAGTTTCATTAACAAAATCACAAATTTGGTATGGTATTTGGATCCTCATCATCACAAACTAGAAAAAAGAGGTTTGAGGCTTCCAAACCTTATAGCTAATCTCCCTGAATATATTTCTAATAGTAATTATAATCTTTATTATCACAATATGAAACATAAAAAGGTCAAAATCTCACATGAAAAATTAGATGCACTAATCCAATCTTTAAATATATCTCTTCAACAACCATGGACAAGTTTTTCTTATTGGAAAGAGATTATACAAGAGATTCATCATCTAGTACAAATTACTCAAGATTATTCTATTTATCTTAAAGGAATCAATGTTAGGATGAAATCTATTCATACTAGTCTGGTTCCTGCCAGAAATGCAAGAGATGATATTTTTGTAAAAGATTATGAAGCACATGATGTGTATCCACCTCAATATAAACCTTTGGTGACTCTTCTAAAAGAATCTAATTATTATGAGATTTTAAATATTGATGATTTGCTCACATCAAAACCACAAGAAAATTACCTCTATTTCAAAATATATGTACTGATACATCTTTCACTTTGTATAGATATTATCATGGTGATTATCTAGGTACATTAAACTTTGTTTGGAAAATTCCCCAATTAATGAACGTGATAAAAATAAAGAAGCAAGGAATATTTCAAAAATATATAAAGAAATACCTATCTATTCTACTAGACAAATGAAAAAGAGTGTAATCAATAAGTATTCTTTGTTAATTAAAGCATCATCTTCTGTAATGAAAGTGCTATATCAAGATCTGACAGGTGATGTTTCAAAACCAAATGATGAGCAAAGTAAAGATATTCAAGAGAGGATGAAATTAATGTTAGATACGCAAGATCCTGACATAATGATAGATCTGAGAAAAACTATTGGAGAAAGATCAACCAAGTTTGATATATTTTGGGATGAGATGGAAGATTATTTTAATGAAAATTCACCCTCTGTACATGAAAGAAGTCATACTACAACTTTGTATATGCCAATTGCTATGTCTGTCAATGATCTTTTACAAACAATTTTAGAAAGATTAAGAAATAAATACAATGGTGATATTCCCCCAGAAATTGAAATACCTTCAAATGAATGGGTAAGGCTGCAGTTTTGGCCCAAAAGTGAATTTGCAAGAAGTAGGAATACAGGAAGGTTTAGAATTAGATATAAAGTCCAGGCAAGACAGCTTTGTAAATTTCATGTTGATGCTCATTACTGTGCTGCACTCTGGAAAAACTTCTGTGAATTCTCAATCAAATTTAAAGATCACACTACTTTGATTTGTGCAGATGATAAACACAAAGTTCCCATAGGTGAATTTGTTGCTACTTCAACAGGAATACGAAATAAACAGTCAATAACACCTTTAGATGGAATACTAAATTCCAGTGACCATGATTTCACAAAATTGTCATTAACACCTTCAGTTTCTTTGTTTGTCGATATTCCTAATGAAATCACAGAATCATTTTATAAAGGTCAAGTATATGTAGCTTATAAGGATACAATCCTACAACCAAGTTCAGCTCTACGCCATTCTACTGAATTTTACAACAATTATTGTGCTCAGTTCCAAAACCATCTTGCAAAACCAAAAATATTGCTACTATATACTGATGGTGGCCCAGACCATCGATGCACATATGGTTCTGTTCAAATATCATTACTAGCTTTGTTTTTAAAAGGAAACTTTGATTTTTAGCTGCTGTTCAAACTGCTCCTTATCACAGTTGGGCAAATCCAGCAGAATGCATGATGTCAATATTAAATCTAGCTTTGCAGGGAGTTGCTTTAAAAAGGGAATCCATGAGTGAATCCTCCGAGGAAATATTTTGATAAACTTAAAAATTTATCAGATATACGTATTGGTTCTGAAAAAAATTCTATATTCAAAGAAGAACTAATTGAATCTATGAAAAAAACACAAGATTTTCTTAATGAAAGAACTTCACATCTTTCATTACATGATACAAAATTTAGAAGTAGCTCACCTGCACTAGAATCAGATATAGAAACATTATTTGCATCCATCTTATTAATTGAAGAGCAGATTACTATCAATGATACTACATCTGTAGAATTAAAAGGATTCCAAAAGCTTAAAAATTTTATGAGCACTCATTGTCAAATTAGACAGTATTCTTTTCAAGTTAAAAAATGCAATAGGAATGAGTGCAGAGTTTGTTTACCAATTGAATTACCAATTGAAGTATATAATAATTTCCACTTTTTACCTGATCCTGAACCATCAATATCAGATCCTGATCACTACAGGGAATTTTCTAGCATATATGGTACTCAAACTTCAGAAAAGTTTCGTCCAAGTAAATTAGAACAACCAGAAGCAAGTAATTTGCCACAAGGAATTTTTAATAATAACCGAATTTGAGAGTTTGTTGAATGTGATTTTTGTGGAAAGCCTGATGTATTTATAGTATGAAAGCTTTGATAGAACAACAGATTTCTGCATTAAGGCTCAAAATTGATGAAAATAACTACACTTGTGGAATAGAAGGTTGGATGCTTACCTCACAGATGCTTCAAGATGTTGCCTTTACTTGTCAATCTATCACATGTGATTCTCCAATTGAAAATGGATATTATTCATCTCGCAAAAAAAAACCACCTATTTGCTATTATTGTGGCAGGAGCAATTTATTAGTTGAGATAAACAATGATTTGCTTAACATGCATCAAATTGTATACCCTCTTTGTTCTAATTGTGAACTTGCTGGTAATTCATTTCATACTTGGGAAAAAAAAAACAAAGTATCTAAAAAAAGAAAAATAAATTAGTCATATAAATTAGTGAATCTAATAATTATTGCATTCATAATATGTGCAATTTTTTGTTCTTCATTAAAATGCATATATTTTTTACAATTCATTCTTCATGATATGTACACATAAGATTGTTGAAATAATTTTTTCTTTTAATCAAATTTTTTTTGTGATCATGTAAAATTTCCTTTTATGTAAGTTTTTTGATGATCAAACCGTTAGTTTAAATTCAAATTTCTGAAAAAAATGAGGGGGGGGGGTTGATGTTAAACAGAACTTCAAGTTTGAACGGCCTTATACTCATTTACAATTATAAAAAACTTTTTATTATAATAATTACATAATTTAAATGTCTTCTACACATTTATTTTTTGACAGTGTTTTTGATGAAACTCATCCAGAATTAATAGACCTACAGGAATCCTTTTCTAAAATGAAAATATCATTTCCATTAGATGCAGATTTTAATGAAGAAACTGAACAAGAAGTACTAGTTATATCAGATATTGAAGATGAAAGTTCAGAAGAAAGTTATCAAGAAACAGATATTCTATCTAATGAACAAATTAAAAAATTTAAAAATATTTATTTAAAAAAAAAAATCGAGGATGATGAAATTATAGAATCTGATCAACATAATATGGATATAGATATAGATATAGATATAGATATAGATAAATATATGGAAAATTTAAAAAAAAAGAGTTGTTGTGGAAAAGAATGTTTCAAAAATTTAAATTATGAAGAGGTTAAAATTAGGTATAAATGCTTCATTGAATTAAAAAAAATTGAACAGGATATTTTTTTAAAAGGTATTCTTGCTGCTAATATGAAAAATGAATTTAATTATACTGGAGCTAGAAGACAAAAAATGGAAACTGAATACCAATTTAATGGAGTAGATATATGTTCTAAGGCATTTATGGGTATTTATGGCATAGGTAAAACAAGATGGAATAATATTAGAACCATTTTTCTAATGATGATATAAAAAAAGAGGCAAAATGCATTAACAGGGAGAGTAGGTAACAGAACTAAACCATTTGATACAGTATTAAAAATACTTATTTTTATTATAAAATTTTCTAATATCAATGGGCTTCCATCACATGGTAAATATAAATATTGTGAGATAGTAAATCTTGGACCTATCAATTACCCGGCTAATATTGACCAATTAGAACGAACTTACTACGGAAGTCATGTGATGCGCTAAATATATTATTGTAACGGCTACGCCGCAGATTGCGCAGTGTCATATGAAAGACTATTCCTATTCATATTTCTATATTAATATTTATTAACCTTCTCATCTGATGTAAATATTTATTTAGAATTAATAATTAGTTGATAAGCATATTATTGGAGAGTAGAGTAGCACATATCACATTATTTGTACTGCCCCAAGAGGTATAAATACACTTGGCTTTAGACCAAGTTAAAAGGACAATAAAAATAAATCAATTGTTAGTATTGTTAATAACAACCTTGATAACATTAACATAATAATAACTCTTAATAAATATATAACCTTACATAACATAGTCTTTGACTGTAAGTAACTAATAAACCCAGTGTGGTTGACCCCCCCAGCCCTTCTAATGGTTAATGGTCTGGCAAACCTTTAATTATTAGTTGGGAACCCTTTTAATTATTGAGAAACATCTCAAGGGGATGCCTTTGGGATATTATACATATATAGAACCTAGGGACCCTTTTATCTGAAAAGATAAAAGTTATATTTTTATTATTAATTTTTGACTGTAAGTCAGCGAGTAGGCTGTATGTCAAACAATAGAATCAACTGTAAGTCAGTGAGGAGGCTGTGTGTTGAGCTAAATAACCTATTAAATAGGAAACTCAGATTGCACGCTTGCAGTAGTTACGGTTGGTGTAACTGGTGAAACTATTCAACCAATGGTGCAACTCAAAGGATGTTTGTCGAAATTGCCGTAACTGTTGCAACTGGTGAAATTGGGGAAATTGGTAACTGGCAAAACTTTATTATAATTTTTAAAAATTATATCTTTATTACTATATACTCAAATAAATCATGTTAAAATTTTAAACAATTCATCTAATTATTTTCCAAATCATCTTGGTTCATAATATTTTCTACTAGAGCACTTGGATTATAAGACATATGGGGCATGGACTATAGAAAGGGGATAGCTGCAAAATCACGATTTTGAGAAAATCGAAAAAAAAGATCTGCATTTCAAGTAATTTACTATTGTTTTTAAAAAATTAAATGGAAAATATCTCGAAATTTTATTAAGTAAAGTGGGTATGGTTTCTAAGCTAAAATTAATCCTTGTAGCAAATTACGCATAGAAGTGGCATTAACTCAAAATCACGATTTTGGTAGTTATCCCCTTTTCTATAGTCCATGCCCCATATTTCCTACATTTATATTTCTTAAACTTTTTGATTGTTCATTAATAAATATCATCATCAAAAAAATTATTAGTAATTGATGAATCAAATATATTATTCCTTTATTTCATTAATGTTCAACTCTTTACCAGGTTAGAAATATAATATGAATGAATTTTACACATTGCTTCAACTTTGTAAATACTTAATTTGGCTCGATAATCTCCATAAATCCACTTTAATGTAGAGAAGTTATGTTCACAAACTGCTTGAGATGGAGATATTGCATAAAGATGTAAGGCTAATTCTTGCAATTGGTCATTGTTTTTATCTGTATTAATACTTAACCACCACATAGTTGGATTTTCCTTTTCTTTATTATAGGACAAATGATATGGTGGAGACTGTCTTTTCCAAGCACGCATCTATGTCAATAATTGTATACACGAATGTTCATCATAACCTTCCACAAACTTGCTGCTGCTTCATATATCTTGTCTAATACATCATTTTTTAAGCCCTTGCCTAAAAAAATAAACAAGTTATTTTCAATTACATAAAAAAGTATATATATACATATATATTTATACAAAAAAAATGCAGACAATGATATAAGGATGAAGCCAATATGAAAGAATATAATAATAATTAGTGAATTCATTAAACCTTCTATTAAATTTCACAGTGATTTCTTGTTTCCATGGATTCATACCATCTATTTGGTTTATGGCAGCAGCAAGCTTAACTAAGCCAATGAAACAATCAGCTAGATTAGCAGATCTTGCTTCTAAAATATTTGTTAATTCTTTTATTGGTTTTAAAATGGAAAAAATTTGTCAACACTTCATATAAAAATCCTCATTTTGTAAATAATTGAACACATTATCATTTGAAATAACAGAAGGATAATTATCAAGAATCTATAAAACAACAATAATTAATATAAGAATTTAACAATAATATAAATTCCAGAATTATCATTAAAATCCTTACCCAATCAAAAACAGGTTTTGATCTTATTATTGAATCCACTGTCATGCAAAAAGATCCCCATCTAGTTTTCGTATAAGATTTAATTTCACCACCTTTGATTTTCATTGCCTTTAACTGTTCTTGATAATAACCATGTGCAATATGAGATGATTGAAAAAATTTTAAAATTGCAGAACAATTTGAAATAATTGGTTTAATTGACTCCAATTCACAAAAATCTGAAGCTATTAAATTTGCTGCATGTGTGGCACATTGAAAACTCAAAACATGTGAATATGATTCATTTATTATTCTTCTTGCTACTCTTAGATTTGATCCAGAGTCCGTCACCACTGCAGCAAATTTATGTAATCCAATCTTTTCAATTACCCTTGAAATTTCATTTGCCATGAACTCACTGGTTTGACTGACTGTGTTATAAATTTTTAATTTAATTAAATATTCTTTACGTTTGGGTGTAGTTACTACATAATTATATATTGAGTCATGGGTGGGAGAAGTCCATCCGTCAAGACCTAATTATAATGAATAAAAAACATTTGTAATTAATATTTAAGAAAAAATTGGTTTTTAATTCTAATAATCCATGATATAACAACCCATTATTTTAAATTATAAATAAATATGTACTCAATGTAAGATTTTCTTCATTATCAAGCTCAAACTCAACTTTTTGTTCTATCCGTGCAGCTTCTGACTCCAAAAGAAATCCAGATAATTTTTCTCTGGATGGTAAATTATACCCAGGTGCAGCAATTTGAAATAAATCAATTATAAAAGGATTTTCTATGGTATGGAAAGCAAAACCACAACAAAACCAAGCTTTTAGAATGGCTTGATCCAATAAATGGGCTTTTGCAGATGAAATTGGAGTATTAGAATGGAAATGACTGGTAATAGTTGGTTGATTTATGGTTCGTTTATTTTTAGTATTAGATGAAGTGTTTTCGGCTAAATAATTACGCCATAAGTTTTTTATATTTTCTGGGACATCTTTACAGATTCTTGCTAAATGCACTTTCATGTCTTGCAGTCTTCCTCTTGTCCACCCTCCTCCACACCACTTGCATGATGCTTTATAGTGACCACCACCTAATGATTCTCCTTTATTCACATATTCCCAGATATCATCAAGCCTTCTACCACCTTTTTTTTTAATTGAAGAACTAATTTCATCTCTATTTAACAAAGAAACATCTTCAGCATCAAGTTCATAATTATAAGATGGTTCAAGAAAATCATTTATATCATCCCAGTGAGAAGTTGTCATATTATTTTTTTTATGTTTATTATTATATACCACTACTATAATTATATATTTTTAATAAAGGAGTGATTATTCTAATAATTAAAAAAAATATATTGTTGATGTAAAGAATTATTTTCAAAACAAATTGGACATTCTTATAACAAATACTTTGTAGTAGTAAAAATATGTTATTTATTCTTTTTAAAAATAATCTTATTTATTTATATGAAGAAAAATACAGATAATCTCATCTATCTGAATGTTCCTAAGCATAATTAGTAAAAATATAAAACTGATTTGTTTGACAATAATGTTTAGAATTGTACCAATTATTTAACAAATGTGGCTGATTATGACTTAACATTAGGATATTCTTGTCAATTAATTGCAATAATATTCGGTGCT